ATTTACAAATGAATTATTCCCCAGAACACTGATATGCCTTAGCATCTCCACGTATTTCTCTACTCTTTCTGGTGTTTTGACACATGGTCTCCCTGAAGTCCCAGCTGCTCCGGAATTACTATGTAGACCAGACTGGCCATGAACCCACAGAGATCTGCCTGCCTCTGCTTCTCTTAAAGGTGTGTACCACCATGCTTGGCCATGTATTTTTCTTTTAAGTATGAAATAGTTCTTTCAAGAAAAGAGTCACGATGTGAAGTTGTGGGTCTGGTATATATGGGGCAATGGGAAGAAAGTCTATGAGTCTAGGTCTCAGGGCTGTGGACAGAAAAGTGGTGAAAAGTCAGCAGATGCCAGATTCTAAAGGACTGAGTGTGCTTGGCTAAAGAGCTCTGGCTTTCCCAAAAAACAATGGGACCCAAATGACTTTAAGGAGAGAGGTGCACTAACTACTTTTGTATGCAAGTTATGGGGATAGACAAGTAAGCCATTTGGAGAAACTTGCTCACCATCTTGATAGCATATTTGACATGGAATTGGTGATGGTAGAGTTTGACACAGAAGATGAGTAAGACTTTTTCAGACATTACCTGAACCCTTACTTAGTAAAGATGGCATGGGATCCATCACCATAAGCAATGTCCTCTTCTGGATCTACTCATTTAGATGTTGGACGTGGTGACTGACCACAACAGAGTAGGAGGTTGGGCTGTCTTCTTTCTTCTGCCAATGACCAGGCTGTTCCCACTGGACTCTAATATGAGCTCTGAGCTCAATTGACTGTTCTTCTGAAATCTCCTGGAGCAAAGTCCGTGATGAGCCATTGACTTGGGTGCTTATCCCTCTCGGGAGTATGTACAATGGCTTTCAGGAATTAACACTTAATCTCTTCCTTTAAAGAGCTTATGGTCAAACCGGGGAGGGGACTGTGCCCATGAAATAGAGAAGTTCTGATTCCATAGCCCCTGAAAGACAATACCCACGAATCCCTGAGCGGTAGTGATGCTGTTGGGGCCTATGCGCAAATGTGTGGAAAGAGACACTTCACAGATCAGCAGGATGGTTACAGTTTGATGCTTCCTGCTTCTTAGATAGCTACAACTTAATATCATCAGGACAAGACTATGACTTGAGCATAAACCTGCCTAAGTCTTTCCACTTGGGGTCCTCGGCACCAACTATGGTCATTCATTTCAACCAATAAGAAAGCCAGTAGTCTCTTGACTAGTTTTTATTATCATCCTGATCCAAACTGCCACCAGGCCTGAACTTAAAGAATGGAGCTTTCTTCTAGCTTGTCTGCGAGCTTTCATTGTTGGCCATAGATAATTCATTTCCCATACAGCAACTGTGTGATTCAAGTGGAAAAAGTGTAACATTATCACGCCACTCATGTGCCCAGTCCCTTCAATGGCTTCCCATTTCAATGAGGAAAATAACTCAAGCCTCTTGCCCAAGAGGCTCTGTTTGATCTGGCCCCTGATAACCTTCCTAACTCCTCTGGGGCCAGTCTCCATAGCTTGCTGTTTTCACTTCCCCAAATCAATCAGGCTCCTTCCCTGTCCTTGGATTGTTCTTCCTTGTGTCTGAAACCTCTTTCACGTGTTTGGCTCCTGTGTGGGGGTTCTACTCCGTCTTTAGGTTTCAGTGAGGCATTTTCAGAGGGAATCTTAGCGTTCTTCCATCTCAGCTTTGTCTTGTCCTTCATTATTTTTGTTTTCAGTTTTGCTGAGATATAGCATGTGTGCAGTGAAGTACTTGAAGTATGCTAATTTTAAATGCACAGTTCAATGATTTCATATGTAGACACACATGTACATTCCTATTAAAACACTAGATCCTTCATAACATTCACATGTTTATTGTTATTTAGTTGATTTACAAAGATAAAAGATTTGATAATACAACCATAGGAAATAGATCCTGACCATTGTTCCAAACTTTGTACAAGCGATTTCATAGCTTTACAAAAAATTTAAAATGCTTATACCCATTGAAGCAACAAATCCCCTTTCAGGAACCGATCTTATGGAGACCCTTTTCATGCATGTGAAGATAAGTGCTCAACATGTGAATCATAGAATTGTTTCTTTAAAAAATATTTTATTTATTATCTTTATTTTACATGTATGAGTGTATTGCCAGCACGTATGTAAGTACATTTGTGTTGTGCAATGCCCATGGAGTTCAGAAGAGGGCGTCAGAGTCCCTGGAACTGGAGACAGTTTTTAGCTGCCATGTAGGTGGTGGGAATTGAACCAGGTCCTCTTCGGGAGCAGTTAGTGCTCTTAAAGGCTGAGCTGCTTTTCCAGCTCTGAGAATTGTTTGTAGCAAGAACATTTTGGGAAAATGCTAATGGTCGTTCCGTGGAGGTCTAGCTGTGGAAGTGTGTGAAGGGAGAAGCTGCTGTGGAAGCCGCTGTGACAAATACACCCATGGCTAAACCCTTAAGCTGCATCAAGTGGGAAAAGGCAGAACGGTGCATGCGGGGCCTTCTCGTTTGTATAAAAGAAGGCCCTATGTTTATTTGGCCCTACATGCCAATGTGCAGACCATTTAGAAGGAAACTCAAGAAAATGGTTGTATCTATCAGCTCTAATGATTCCTTGAAGCAAGAGGAAGATACTTCCAATTTTTTTCACCTGTATATATGTCATGTTTTCGAAAACTTTAGTAAATGGTCTTTGGGTTGTGAGGGAGACTGTGCAGTTGGAGCAGGCTTTGACAGGCCAGGACAAGGCTGTGTGGATGGCTTGGCCTGCCTTGGACTTCAAAGGCATGGAAGGAACTGGCTGGGTTAGAACCTGGCTTTCAGGGGTTCTTTGTGGAAGTTCTGGGAAAGAGCACCTGCCCATTCTTGTAGCAGAAGCCAATGGATATGCTGTTGTTGGTTTAGGGGAACACAGACTCGACACTGTCCCCCAGGGCTTGCTCTGTGGGGTGCTTCTATGTTCCTGCTTGCAGCGCCCATTCTTGTAGCAGAAGCCAATGGATATGCTGTTGTTGGTTTAGGGGAGCACAGACTCGACACTGTCCCTCAGGGCTTGCTCTGTGGGGTGCTTCTATGTTCCTGCTTGCAGTGCCGTTCACCTTACCTCTTATCTCACATAAAAACACAAGCTAATAAGAAGATCGTTGAGGAAAAGTCCTTTTCTAGGCTCCTGACATTTGCTGGCTGGCCTTTCTTTTTTTTTTAATTTTATTTTTTTTTTAATAGAGAGGTCAAAGCTGTAGAATAGAAACTTGCTCCAACAAGCAATCAGCTGTCCCTCTCCCCAGGCCTCAGTGATCTTAGTGAGGATCACAGGCTTGGGAAGGAGCCAAAGACAGGGCTGAGTCATCACTCCATCATTTCGTAGCCTGGCATCCTTGGGCAAGTCAAAGGACTGCATTGTGTCTAGGTTTCCTTATGGGTAAGGTAACATCAGAAGGCCTAGCCTGACTCCGGAGGTTGATAAGGAACAAGCTAAAGGACTTGCCCACCTTGTGACAAGCAAAGGGTCATGGGGACAGGGTCGTTTGTATTGTGGCATGTGTGTTTCCTGGGGCTACCATAACAGATGAGCAAAAACCTGGTTTAAAGCAGAGAGCTTTACTCTCTCACCTGATGCTCTAGAAGCCTGAAATTGAGCTGTGGGCAGGACCACACACACACACACTGATCTACCTAGGAGAGGATCTATTCTGGGTCCTTTGTCTTCTGGTGGCTCATGATGGGCTTTCTCACTCCAATCTGCCTTTGTTTTCACATGGCCATCTTTTCTTTCTGTCTCTCCCCTGGATGTCTCCTGTGATCAGAGTTAAGGCTCAGGTGAACAGTTCAAAATGATTTCATCTCAGTATCCCAGACTTCATTATACCTGCAAAATAAGGACAGACAGTTCTGGGGCAGGGGGAGAATACGACATGTCATACTGTGGGTCCCATTCAGCCATCATACATAGACCAAGCAAAGACAGTAGATGGAAGTGACCACAGGTGTGCACTCGTGTTCTGCGTCAGGGGCTTTTGATTCTGAGCCACACGGCACAGTCCCATTTGCTACCCCAGAGGCAACGACGTCTCACTTTGCCTGAACTCTCTTTGTTTCTTTCTCTGCCTTCCAATCAAGATAGCACCCACTTTACTTCATGGTCTTGGGAGACTGTGCAGTCCTGAGATGATGCCCTATAAATGCAAACCTTTTATCGAAAGATTTAGGTAGATTTTAAAAGTAAATAAGTGCTACAGCTCAGTTCCAGGGTTTACCAATGGCACCTTCTGGTGTTGACTTGGTATTATGATTATAAGATGTCACCATTAAGGAAGCTGGACAAAGGGAAGCAAGTTTTTGAGCTATCATTGCAAATTCCAGTGACTCTATAATCATTTCCACCTAAAAAATAGTTAACCCCTCCACCGTAAATATTTGAAATCCACACAAGAAAACAAAAAATCAAACAACCAGTATTGTGGGTCTCTCTAGATGAGAGTTTAGAAGAAACCTAATCTCCAAATGTGCATGTTTACAGAGACATCTTCACAATTGTCTGGGATCTTCCATTCCCAGGGACTACTGGGAAGGGGGACTCACCCTGGTCTAGCCCCATCCTTATTCCAGGACTCTTGGGATCCTGTCTTGGGTAGCTGCCTCCTTGAAAAGGTAGTTCTGCCAGGCCTGCCCCAAGCCTCCCTAGGCAAATGTTGGTCTGGTCTGTAGACACATGGTTGGGCTGGGCCAGCACACCCAGCCCTGCGGCCCAGGCTGAACCCTGTTGTTGCTGTCACATGTATACAGCTCTGGTTCCTGATGGACTTCTCTCCTGTACTTCCTTAATAGGCACATGGCCTCAGTAACCCCACCCTGAGTCAGAGATCCACAGAGCTCCTAGGAGGTACTGCTCTGGCTTAAGGCCAGCCCTCCCTACCCTGGCTTTGGTTGTCATCCTGTGCATCCTCCTTCTCCTCCCTCCTCCTCCTCCTCCCTGGGGTAGGGTGTCAGCCTCTCTCCCGTGCAGACTCCAGCTGCCACTAGTCTGGGCAAGTTGGAGACGCCCTCCCTGAGCCACTTGTCTGGTCTTTCTGCTCCTTCCTCCTCACCCATGCGGAGGCCATTGGGTGAGTCCTGCACACTGTGACTTAGTAGTTTGGTGTCCCAGGGGTTATAAACTTGAAGTTCATGTTTAGACTTTGGGGGCTGCCCTGGAAACCAGTTGAGTTTCCACACAGAATATATGAACATTCTCCAGGCAAAAAGATAGAGCCTAAGAAAGGCAGAGGTTCAGAGGAGTAGAAAGGGCTGTAATGTACATTTTTGTAAAATATTAAATATTTCTTTTCTGACATCTGGCTATGCACATCCATGCCTCAGTTTCCTCCCATGTAAAACTAATTAAATGATTGCATTCTATCACAATTGCTCAACTCTGTAAGGAGTAATGAGGAAGACATACAAAGTTCTTGGCACCAGCTAGCAAGAACCCAACAGAGATTAACTGTTGTTGTCATTACCTGCCCTAGCACAGATGAATTCACTTTTTGCTTACAGCAACCATGTGACATGGGGAGTGTCAGAAGAGGAAAAGAGGACAGGATTAGGGAAGGTGTTGGATATGTTAAAACCCCTTCATGATTGTATCTGGAAAGTCTTCTCTGTCCTGTCTTCTGAGGTGTAGGAGAAAGTACTGAGCTTGCATGCAATGGCTTTACTGGAGGAAAATTCTAGAAGAACTTGACTTTAAAGGAAAGATCATGTGCATGCAGCAAGCCCTCCTGCCTTTGCAGGTGCTGTTCCATCCTTTACCTGAGGCCCTCTTGGCTGTCTGTCAGAACCTGCCTCACATGCCACCTGTCCTGGGAGCACCATCCCTGACCCTGTGAGTGTTGCTAGGTCTTTTGGCTTTCTGCACACCTCCGTCATGTCCCTGTGTTAACGGCAGTGTGGTAACCTTGCTCATCTCCCACTGCTGTCTCTTAAAGAGCTAAGTCTATGTCTAAGGCATCCGTTTTCTCCCTGTGCTCATCTTGGTGATGGGAATACAATATGTGTCTTCTGAGTAGGATGCCCTCTCTCCATTCCTTCCTCCCCAGTCATTTTCTGCCTTCCTGTAGGATATGAAGAGGAGTCATCCATGTCCTCAAGGACTCAAATCCAGAGGTGGGGCAATACACAGCCCCTGGAAAGTTGGACAGTTTCCTGTTCCTTAAAACTCCCAATCTACTGAGGACTGAGGGAGGCGTCAAAATCATCCTAGAGCCATTTGACATCAGGAATTAATTGAGAGGCAAGAATATGAGAGTTGGGTAACTGGCCATTTCCCCAGGGTGACAGAAAAGAGGGGCTTAGCTTCCCAGGATCTGCCTGATGCCTGAGCGCACCAGAGCTAGTTTTCCGAGCACACAGGTACTGGTCTCACTAAAATCCCTTGGGTTTAATATCTTCTTTCCCTAAGAGCATCAGAAGCTGCTGGGCTGGACCTCGTCAGCTCCCAGCCCTTCTAGAGGCAGAGAAAAGCTTTTATTTGAAAATGGAAAATCAAAGTTCTAGGCAACCTCAAAGTAGCTAAGAGTGACCTCAGACTGAGTCAGTACTGTGTGTTCTGGACCCCTATGGGTGCTCCTGGGAAAGTTGGTTGTTAGCCAGGACAGAATCCAGAAATGGCTAGGAAAGGCAAGTGTAGCTCCACACCCCACACTAGCTATTTCCTAGTTGAAGTCTGTAGCCAAGCATGTATGTCCAGATTCATGACTCTTCCCTCAACCCACTTACCAAATTCTGACTGATCTCAAAAAATGACTCCCTTGTGACTCTGAAACCAGAAGTCAACCTGATCTTCTGTCATGCACTGCTTCAAAGCAAGTCCATCACTGACTTCTGTCATTTTTGCTTCTAAAACATCACTTGAATCTATCCTCTTCTCTCTGTCTCTCTGGCCACCACTTGGGGCTCTCACAGTCTTTCCCTCTAAATTATTTCATAGCTCCACCAGTTACTCTAAATAAATTTATTTCTCTTCATTCTCCAGGCATTAGTTAGCCCCCCAAGTTGAATAAGCTTGCAAAAAGTATATAAGTCTTGTCAAGGCAAGGCACTTCTATGGTTAAAAATCTTTTAATACTTATAGAGGGCTTAGAGACATGGCTCAATGGTTAGGAGCACTGACTGCTCTTGCAGAGGACCTGGGTTCAATTCCCAGCATCTACATGGCAGCTAACAACTGTCTGTAACTCCAGTTCCAGGGGATCTAACACCTTCTTCTGACCTCTGGGGGCATTGTATGACACAGGTATACTTACATACATGCAGGTAATACACTCATATACATAAAATAAAAATAAAAATTAATATTAAAAAATGCTTACTGAATAATGCTCCTAAAGTCACATTGAGTAGTGTGACTTTGTACCACATAGACACTCCTTTGAAAAACTATACAAATACATAATTCTATGACATGCACGTTGCAAAGTTTGGGGTCAGCTGTAAATCACTCTCTCTATCAGAGTTGAGCAACGGCCTGTCTGTGAGGTATGGAGATGAACGACTCATGCCAGCATAAAAAAGTGGTGAGCGAATGGGCTGAAGTTACAAAGCAGATGTAATAAATGTTAATTGTAGAATCTATATAGCAAGCGCACAGGGATTGGTTGCACAATTCTCTCAACTTTTTTTTGTTTGGAAAATTTCATATCAGACTCTTGGGAAAAGTTTCTGTCACAGCTCCCATTACATCAGGGTTAAATCCAAAGTCATTGCCTTGGTCAGCCAACCCTGCCTGACTTCCCTGACCTGATGGCGGCATCATGAGCTAATCTCTATAACTTCTGTGATCTAGTCATCGAGCTGGTTGCTCCATTTTTAACATAATTTCCCTCTGGTTTTGGAGGATTTATAGATCTAATCACAATTTAATATAATACATTATGCATTAATAGGTTGAACAATATAAAATGCCTTTTCTGTTGGTGAGGTGGTTAAATAGTGCCGTTTTCTGTGGTTCCAACAAACAATGGCTTGTGGTCATCCACACCTAAGCTCTAAGCTCTAGGAGATATTGTGGCTAGTGTAGTGCCATCACTTTTCTCCTCACAATTAAATAAACTGATGAACTGATAGACTTTCATCTACCCATATTTTCAATCATCTAACCCCTTGGCTGTAGATAACACTGGTGCTGAGAGCTGTATAAGTATGCAGAATTCCATAGCTTTCTCTGATTTTAGGTATCACTTTGCTATAAAAGTCAAGTAAATAAGGGGCTGGAGAGATGGCTCAGTGATTAAGAACACTGGTTGTTCTTGCAGAAGACTTGGGTTCGAATCCCAGCACCCACATGACAGCTAACAACTGTCCGTAGCTCCAGTTCCAGGGGATCTGATAGTCTCTTCTGTCTTCTGCATGGGCATTGCATGACATGGGTGCACTTACCTAATTCTGTGATAAAAAATCTAGATATTCCCACAAAGAATATTGTCCTCCCCATTTCTCTAAGCAATTTATCTAAGCTTTGATTTTAGTTTTCATGAATCTGACTAGAGAGTAGCTTGATGATCACTGGGGTTCTGGCACTCCCCAGAGCAGAGAGAGAGAGAGAGAGAGAGAGAGAGAGAGAGAGAGAGAGAATGCTTTTAATGGACAAGGCATTGTTTTCCTGATTCCTGGTTTCCCTATGGGTAAGTACGTAAAACTGGGTCCTTCTCTGGAATTGTGGAAAGTACTTGAAATAATGCAGGTCAAGAGCCAGGTTAATCAGGTCTTTATGTGCTTTTACTGCCTTGAAACCTTCTTCTAATCACAGTGGTCACAGACAGGCAAGATGGCATCCTCAGCCTTTATCATGTTGGGGAGACACAGATTGGAGGTGCAGCATCATGTCTTGACCTTGACCCATTAACCTATGTGTTCTTATGTTTCCGTTGCTGTCTGAGAAACCAGTTGATGTGAATTTGGCACACATTGCGCTTTATTTCTAGAAGCAGAGAATATCATGTGGTATGTTTTATGTGCTAAATGGCTTGACGCTGCATTAAGAAAAGAAAGCAATGGAATGCTTTGTAGATCGGTGCCTCAAAGATGGATCAACTTCATGTGGTCCATTTGATAGAGTCTGAGCTCTTTATTGGTAGGCTACATCTTCACTCACATCCCAAAGCAAGTATAAGATTTATCTTACACAAAAGTCCTGGGAAATGCTGGGGCAAAGTATGAAGGAACAAACAGATTCGTTGGTGAAACAGATGTTTACATTTGTCGGACTATAACTGATGCCACCTTCTTCAGAGAGCACATTTTAGATATCCAATTAGATACCCAATCTAAAATGGGAATCTTTTGTTCTAAACACAAGCAACCTCATCAATTGATTAGAGAAACAAATTCAAAGGAAAAAATATTTCACAAACTTCTCAATTTGTCCACAAAAGATAATAGCATTGTTGGAGGACATGAGGAGCAGGCAAACTTGAGTGTGCATACAAAGTACTGGGGAGAGCTTATTAAACCTCTACCATACCAAGGAACCACCCCGAGAAAGTTAGATTCTGAAGGTCTTAAGTGTGGCCTTTGACTGTTCTCACTTGTGGTGCTTTGAATGAGAACGTCCCCCCATAGGCTTCAAGTATTTGGACATTTGGTTCCCAGGGTGACACTGTTTTGGGAGGTTATAGGAGGTGTAGCCTTACTGGAGGAAGCACATTACTGGGGGCAGGCTTTGAGAGTTCTTAAGCTTTGCCTGATTTCCAGTTGCTCTGTGCTTCCTGTGCCTGCTTGGAGATGTGATCACTGGGATTTCTGCTCCTGCCACCTCCTGCCACCAAGCCTCCCTGCCATTATGTACTCTCCCCCTGGAACTGTAAGCCAAAGAAACTCTTCCTTCTATAAGTTGCCTTGGTCATGGTGTCTTATCACAGCAACAGAAAAGTAATTATCAACCTACCCTGATGACTCAGATGAAAACATACCAGAGATCAGAGGTGAGAAATTATTGGCTTAGTGGTTGCAGTAGTCTGAGTAATGACCCCTGAAGGATGTTCACATTCTAATCCCTGAACCTATGAAATGCCAGAAAAGGGGAATTAAGGTTGTGGATGCAAAGAAGGCTCGATAATTGGATGATTTTGAGATGGGAGGATCATTATGAGTTATCTAGGTGAGCCCAGTGCAAATGATCATCTGGGCACCCAGAGATGTCTTGGCTGTTACCAGAAAGAGATATGGTAGAATGGTTGGGGGCACAGTGCTGCTGGCTGTGGAGCTGGAGGAAGACATCCCTGAACAAAGACATGTGGAAGACCAGAAGCTGGAACAGAGAAGAGGATGGATCCTCAGTTTATTACTTTATTATAACAGAGCTTCTATGCAGGAACACAGCCCCGATCATACCTCAATGTCAGTCCAGTGAGATCTGTATTGGAATCTAACCAAAGGACTATATTATTAACTTTGTGTTATTTTTAACTTACTCTAAAGGCAAAGGAGCATTAACCTTGGGGTTCTCTGGTCTGCTTGTTTCTTTTTCCTCTTTTTCTTCCTCCTTCTCCTCTTTCTGCCTCCTTTGCTTTTGTTGGTTATGCTGTGCTGAACCCCAGAGAACATGTCTCACAATGTGGTGATCCATGGTTCCTCACAAGGGTTGGGCTAACAGTATTTACTTGGGGTGGCTTTATGGTTTATGCAGACCTACAGGGCAGTCTTTCATTGTGGCTTCCTTTTCTCACTCACTGCTCAGCACAAACATGTGAGCTCATTGTTTTCTGCCTCCAATCACTGGCAAGTAAGGGATGGGTGGGGATGCCAGCTACTGGCTACACTTCAGAATTCAACAGAAAATTCTGGCGTTCTCTATGGTCATTCCTCCTTGACTAGAGTCATAATTAG